TGTATCCCAAATGACACACCACCCACAAGCTGACAAGAGCCTAAGGGAAGGATATAAAACAAGAGGCTGGTTTAAAAACAGGAAAACATTTAATCCATTCCAAAATACACATCAGGAAATGAAGTGAACCACAGGAAAAACACCTATGATGGAAGAAGGATATTACTGGCTTCATGCTCTTATTCCTAAAATCCTGAGGCTCTGATGTGTAAAAGACATCATCTTGCCCTTCAGATACTCCCAGATGCCCAGAAAGATATTACACACATCTGCTAAAAAGTTCTGGCCTGCTGAAACTAGAGGGGAGCTAGACAGGAAGGAGAAAGGAGCATCAATCTATAATCAACTGATCTCAGGACAGTTGGGTGACGGTGCAGACCCATCCCAGGCGGGTGGGCCCCTCTGATGCCCTGGTGTGAACCCGAACCCACAAAACGGGTTGGCTCAGGGAATGTGCCAGTCAGCCTATGGTCAGCTACAGCTTTGCTATTATTACATCTTCAGCCAAAGCCCTGGGGAGCAAAACCCTAAACTCCTCCTTCAAGCCCCCTGCTGGTTGGTTTCATCATTATCTCGCCTCTTCCAAATCTGTAAGAAATGAATACAACAGACATGCAGGAGCTGACATTCAATCCACACACATTTATCAAGTACCTGTTCTACCCTAGGCGAGGGACAGCCTGTCGCTCCACATCCTTATTTGTCTGTCCCCTGAAACTAACTCAATCCTTTCAGAAAATTCCCTTTGGCTTCATTTTTATCTTTCTACCCATCCGCCTCTCTCCTTCTTAACTTCCCATGCCAAACTCGCTTTCTAAAAAGGAACTCCAAGTTAAGGCTATAACCACAAAGTCACTAAAGTGTTATCTCTAGAACAAAAAGTGTCTCCGTTCTTTTTTACGAAGCTATAGTTTCTTGACACCAGGGAACAAGGTCGTGAAAAGAGCAGGATGTGGTGTGGTGCTGCCACTTCTACTGTCTAGGATCGCCGCGCCTTTCGCAGAAGTTCCAACAGCCCTCGGTCAGGACAGAGCAGCCCAAGGCTCGCAAGCTCTGGGCTCCGGAGGAGCCCCTACGAGGAGGGCCCAGGAAGGCATTTACCATTTTTGGTGGAGCACAAGCGGCAGTTACTAATTATGATGCCTCTGTACTCTGGATCTGGATCTGGATGTCCTGCACGCTTTTTTATAGTTTATTTAACCCATTAAGCAGATGTGAAAAGGAGCACTTTAAGAGGTGCAGTCTCCTTGAAAAACGGATCAAACTCTTGAGTTCAACATACTCGGTGTTTGTCAATAAACGTATGGTATGACAAGACAAAACAGAACAAAGCTTGGTCACTCTCTTCCTTCTTTGCTAGGTATCAGGGCAGTTATAAAGAGAAACAGAGATACTCCGCTCCACGAGCTCTCGATCCAATAGAGAAGACGTTAAAATAATAAGGTTGGTGCTCTGGCAAAGACATGAAGAAAGCGCTGTGGGGTCACAAAGAGCACTCACTTGGCCTGGGATGCTGGGGAAAGCTTCAGAGCCGACTCCTAGTTGGGGTCCTAATTATTCTAGGCTCTTCCTCCTTGAAACCAGACTACACACCTCCGCAAAACAAACCTGGCCACACACATAATCTCCTTGCTCATCCACAAATCTTTCACACTTCCTTGCCCTTCTCTTTTCTAGCAATCACCCCTGGGCTCTCAGGGCCATATAATCTGGGCCCACCTCACTCCTCTGTGCATTCCAACAGGTACCCAGCCTAACCGAGGCTTTGACTCAATCCCACTTCCTGCCTTCACCCACATCATTCCCCTCACTGGCCCCACACCCTATCTGTTCAGCGCGCACCAAGTCTGTGGCCAACCCACCTGAATGTAAGCCTCCGAGAGCGTGATCATCTGGGGAAGGATGTCAGTCACCTGCAGGTCTTGCAATTCATACCATTTGCCCGTCCCCTGCAAAAAGTATGAAGGGATGGGTTAGTCTGCTCCCTAAAACCAAAAGGTGTAGAAGGAAAGGATCGCAGCAAAAAGTGAGAAGAATCAGAAGAATAGCTGCTAGACCACCACCCAGCAAGAATCATAATTAAGAGGGTGCATGACTTCTGCATGGCATCAATCAATTTAAAGAGCTTTTGGGGTGCTGATCTTGGCAAACGCGATCCCTGCCGAGGATTCCTTGAAGTACAATGGAGTCTCCCAACACTTTTAAGAAGAATTTAGGTGACAGACTAGACACACTCAGCAGGTGCAGTGTTAACCACTGGGAAAGCCTAAAAGTACACATCCCCACCCTCCATCCCACAGAACACAGCAACAGCCAAGAGAAGTGTCCTTGGTGGACACTGTTCAAAATAGTAACCAGTTTCCTTTGGCCTATAAAACCAGTGCTGCAAATACAACAAATCTACTTTACTTCATGCTGCCATACACGAGGGGGCAAAGATGCTTCTGGATTATGGCAGAGGCACTACTGGAAGCTCACCTGCCTCAACCATCCAAACTTCAAAGAAATGCCAAAGGCAGATACTACAGACTATAGATATTCAGATAGTCCAACAGTTCAGAATACAGGAAACATAACAAAAGCTCAGGATCACATAATCAAGCACCCATTCCTGTTTTGAGGACTGGTTAAGAACATGGTGAAACCAGGGGAACCCGGGTGGCTCAGTCAGATGAGCAGCCAGCTCGACTTTGGCTCAGGTCATGGTCTCAGGGTCCTGGGATTGGGCCCTGCGTCAGGCTCCACACTCGGAGGGGAGTCTGCTTGAGATTCTGTCTCCCTCTCCCTCTGTCCCTTCCCCCACTCACATGTTTTCTCTCCCTCTCTCTCTAATAATAAATAAAATCTAAAAAAAAAAAGGTACTAACACCTGTCTTAGAGGTGTGTTTTAAGGATACAAATGCAGGGCGCCTGGTGGCTCAGTTGTTAGGCATCTGCCTTCAGCTCAGATCATGATCCCAGGGTCCTGGGATGCAGCCCTGTGTCGGGCTCCCTGCTCAGCAGGAAGCCTGCTTCTCTCTCCCTCTGCCTGCCGCTCCCCCTGCTTGTGTTTCCTCTCTCGCTGTCTGTCAAGTAAATAAAAATCTTTAAAAAAAAAATAATTCATTTAAAAAATTTTTTTTAAAATAATAAAGATACAAATGAGGGGTGCTTGGGTGGTACAGTTAGTTAAGCATCTGACTCTTGGTTTCCACTCAGGTCGTGAGATCAAGCCCTGTGCTGGATTCCCTGGGCACTCCTCCCCTTCTCTCAAATTAATAAATACGCTTTTTAAAAAAAGATACAAATGAGATGAACATACATTAAGCACTTGGCATACTTTCTAGCGCACAGTAAAATACTTGCTAAACAGAGTTAGTTATTACACCCACAGTCCCAGAAGACTAATCAAATTAAAACAACCTGTGCTAATAATCTGTGTGATACCAAATATATCTTAAGTACATGTTTCATCCATTTTCAGCTTGAGACAAATTCAAAACAGTTTTTCTAGCTGAAAGAAACCTTTAGACCAGTGCTTCATAAACTTTAATTACATACCAGAGGGTCCTGTTAAAATGCGGATTCTGATTCAGTAGGTTTGGGTGGGGCCTAGGATTCTGCATTTCTAGCGAGTTCTCATATGGTATCAATGCTGCTAGTTCGAGGATTCCACTTCAGGTGGTAAGGCTCTAGTCTAAGACAGTGGTGCTCAACCTTGGCTGCACAATGGAATCTCCCAGATAATTTTAACACCATGCTGCCTGGTTCCCACCTCCACATAATCTAAAGCAGTCTCTTAACTGACTGACATTTTGAGCCAGATAATTCTTTGTTATGGGGGCTGCCTGTGCACTACAGGACATTTAACAGCAGCCCTGGCCTCTATTCCAGGTAAAAACCAACAGGCACAAATTACACTGTTCTAATGTAACTGGCCTGGAGTGGCCCAGGCAACAGGATTTAAAAATCTCCCCAGGTGAGTGCAACGCGCAGCCGAAATTGAGAACCACTGCCCAAAACTAACCACTGACAGCTCTATTACTTGCAGAATACCAAAGTCAAGGTCAAGATAAGGCAAACTGAAGAGAGCTGCCCACTGAAATGCCAAAGGAACAACCCCCATTTATGCCACTCACATGATGGAGCACATGGATCCGGTAGGAGCCCTCCGAGGGCTTGCCGTCATGGACAATGTTGGCAATGAGGTCGTAGGTGGTATTCTTATGCACTGCTTGTACTTCCTCAGACAAGTACTCTCTCAGATCCACATTTCTAAGGATGATGAAAATAAAGCCACAAGATCAGACAAAGACTACGGACGGGGAAACAGTCCGACATCAACGGACCACAGAGCTACTGAACCCTATTTTAGCAGCCTGGATCTAGGTAGGCTTGCAGAGCCATGGAAGCCCAGGTTGGTGGAAATTCACATAATTTGCCACAAACATGACGCAAACTAGAAAGACTGGCTCTAGGGGGAAAGCACACTGTAAAAGCATGTCTAGCCATAAAAGATGCAGGGCCTCACGTCATTCAGATTAGAACTGGAATGAGGGCTTCTGTCGCTTCAGAGGTATGTGAGAATCTGAGCAGGTTACACCGCCGAAGGCTCTTCTAGGAAATGAAAAGGAGCATCACCATCTCGAAGGAGATGGTGAGGATTAAGGGAGACAACAGCAGTAACCCGTCACCCTTTGCCCTCTGTGGGAATCCCACAGCTGCAGTGTTCAGTCGATGCCTGGTCCCTAGCCTCTGGCTATGGAAGGCCTGACCGCATGATTCTGTGAGTGGCCACTGTAAACAGTCATTTTCACAATTTCAATATGGCAAAGCAGGCAGACCAGTAGCTTCAGCACAGAAGGGGAATTTACTCAAAATAAAGTAGAAATGTGGCTAGAACCAGGCCCTGGAGAAGAAGCAAGATCCAAGGGAGCTGCATGACCTCTTTTCTGCTCTGACATCGGCTTTGTCCTTCTTCCTCCTTTTGTAGCCCCTCTTTCTGTTCTTTAGGTGACCCACCCTGGCTACTCCACAGCTTCCCAATTTCTCAGTTCTGGTTGCCAAAAGAAACTACTGACTACGTTCCTTCAATTGGGACTTCAAAATATCTATTTTATTTTGAATATCTGAACATTCACTTTCAAATATAGAGACGCATTCTTGAATGTGGAATAATATCTCCTTTTGTGTTTTACGTGTTGGATTCTAACCATCAGTTGAAGTATAAATGTATATACCAGTTATTGCAAAGTCAAATGCTATGATAAATGTCAACTATGAAGATGGGACAAAGACAACTGTGAAGAACCTTCCTATAGTTAAACAGGGAAACAGAGTGACTGTTAGCAAGAATAAGAGAGACTGTATCGGGGCGCCTGGGTGGCTCAGTCGGTTAAGCGTCTGCCTTCGGCTCAGGTCATGATCCCGGGGTCCTGGGATCGAGCCCCGCATCGGGCTC